AAATCTCTCAAATGTCACCGTGGACACCCCGAAGGCCGCAGTGGCAAGAGCATGGGCCTTTTAACTTTTCCTCTGGGGCAGAGTCATCCCCTAACTCCTCTTTAACTGTGGGTTTTACCCTTCTTATCTCCAGACAGTTGACAGAACTTGACTGAGTTCTGGGAAGACTGATGAAGCCTTCAGGGAAGTGCAGGCTTTGAGAGTGTCAGAGATAGAGAAATGGAGTCCTGGGGAGGATTTCACAGGGCTGGAGCTGGGACCTGCTACCCTTGGGTCCATGTTTGTTGCTGTTTTCTTTTCCTGTCTTGCTATGGCTCGGGGAAGTTCTCCTTTAGGTAAAAGTGATATTGACACTCTGATATGTCTCCCTCCTTCCTACCCTCTCTTCCTCTCTCCTCCCCCTCCCTATTTCTTCCTCTTCCTATAGAAGACTTGTGCCTTTATGCAGAGAATGGTACCGTGAGTCCTCTTGTATTCAGCATCAACATTTACAACATTTACCAACTCATAGCTCTTCTTCCATCTGTCACCGCGCTTATTCCCACCTATTATTATTTTGAAAGAAATCACCAACACCCTATCAGTTCCTGTGTAAATGTTTCAGTGTGTACGCCCTTTTGAAGACAAGCGCAACTATGTGCTGAGTCGCAGCAGAGAGCCCAGGATGAGTCTGACTCAGCAAAGTCCTCTAGAGACTAAAGCAGAGACTGAAAAAACCCTTCAAGAAACTACAGTGGTAGAAAACAAACAAAAAGGCAGAGACATGTTAGATCCATCACACAGAAGGAAGGAACGTTTGTACTTCTCATTCCAGAAACAAATGAGAAGATGAGAAAGAACTTTTCCGACTTAGAAACCATGATGGGGAATAAAAGCTCAACTGAAGGGCCAGGAAGACAGCGCAATGTAGCTCAGAAGGAAAAGAGGAGCAACGAATAGTTTAAAAAGTAGATGAAGAAAGAGAAGGAAATTGGGCGGCTTAGAGTTTGAAGGGGCTTGCTACTAAGACCGACGACCTGAGTTTGATCCCTGCAGCAGACCTGCACCTTGTACTCGCATGCTATAGCATGAGTGTTTCTACACACACATACAAACACACACATGTGCGTGCATACACACACAAATAAATATAACTTTTTATTTTTAAGGCTGGAGAACTAGTCCATAAAGGCCATTACCAAACTAATAGGTAGTGGTTGAGCCTTTGGGACATGAAGGCCCGCTGTCAGAAGTAAGTCGCAAAGGGCAGGATTTGAAAAAGTTGTAGCTCAGACTGTGACATGGGAGCCCACTACCACTCAGTCCTCTGCAGTGAGCACCATGCCCTCACCACTGTGGTGGACTGAGGTCCTCTGAAACAGAGAACCTGAGTAAATTTTTCCTCCTTAGGCTGATTGTGTCAGGTGTCTTGGCCAGAGGGTGCTGAAGTAACTGGCACAGCCATTGCAGGCTGAATCTCCAAATTATCCCTTCTGCTGTAGCTCACAGCCCACATTGCATCAAGATATGCCGGTTACTGGGGGGCCCTGGCTGAGGCGTTACTTTCTCTGACTCTGCTCTCTTCTGCATAATCATCCCCCAATATGTTTCAACTTTTACATGGGTTAGCAATAGTCAGAGAAAATGCACAGGTACTTCTCAGTCAGTAACTGGCCAGGCAGGAGGGAGTTCTTGCCAAGAGCCTGGCCCTGTGGTTCCTGGAGCAGAATATCTAGAAGAGAATGAAGCTTTTACCCTCTGGGAGTCACATTCCATGGCATTCTAGAGAAAAAGATGATAGGCACTTACATGCCTCAGCAGGGGGTATTTAGCCATAGAAACTGTTGAATTGTGTGCAGTTGGTTTGACTGCTGAGGAAGTAACGAGATAGCAGAGGAGATGAGTTAGTCAACCATAGCATTGAGGAAATGAGTTAAACCTTAAAGACAGAATTTCTTTCTCGTCCCTGGATCACATGGCACAGAGGTGAAGAACAAGGCTATGAAGTGAGAGGTGTGAATTCTGCCCTGTCCCCAGCCCTTGTCAACTGGACACAGCTGGCCTAATCTTTTCACTTCTCTTTCAAAGGGATGAAACAGAGAGAGTCATCCCCTACGTCTTAGAGATGACTAGAGAACTCAGAAAGATGTTAGTAGGGAGCCATGTTCAGTTACACAGCACGTGTTCCCAAATGAGCAGCTGTCCTATTTACATATATCACAGGAATTTATTACAATGGAGTATTGTTAAACTATAATGTGACCAACCTTGAAAACAGTAAGTAAAATAAGACAGCATTCTATTTCATAAACTAGTCACAGTGGGTATGTCAAAAGCAGATCGGTGGTTTCTCATGGGAGGAGAGGCAAATGGGGAATATCTGCCTAGTGGTTGCAGGACTTCCATTGGGGCAGTGAAAATGGAACAGACAGAGGTGGCAGCAGTGCAGTGCTGAAGGTGAGTGGCGCCCTGCTGCATGGTTGGCTGTACTGTGCTTGATTTCATCTTTCATCTCAGCTAACAGGTGTCCATCAGCATGGGAGGTGTACAAGCGCTGGCACTGAGTTAACTAAGTGCCTTGGAAGTCAGTGGCCTGCTACTGCCTGCTAAGCAGCAGACTGGTCTCAGATTATAGTCCCTGTCTGTGAATGAGGGTAGGACCGTAGGTCATAGAGTCCAAACAGTGCGAGTGTGTGGGTCAGCTGAGTATGAGGTGCGTGGGCAGTGGTGAGTACGTGGGACTGACCTGTAGGTAGCTGGACTACTCCACGCAGACAGACAGTCCGTGGCTGATTCCTGCCCTGTCAATCTGACATCTCATTTAAGCCCTCAGATAGACGAAGATCAAATGTCATCTCTCTCCCTGTTGTACCCTATCCCAGCCACCTAGGGCTCTGGATAACTGGACCTCACTCAGTGTGTAGGGGAGGCACTCCCTCTGAGTTTCTTATATATAAGCTGCTCTGAGGACAGTTGGTGGCCAGTGGCCTCTGGAATGGGATTGGGAAATTCCCTTAGTGTCACTTGCCTGACTTTTGATTGTCTGCTTTCCTGTTGTTTCTGCCTGGGAAGATTCTGGAAGGTTTGTTTTGTCTTGTTTTGTTTTTGTTTTAATCACTAAATATGGAGAGGAAGGTTTTTTTCTTCTCTTGTTTTGTATCTGCTCAAGCTCCTGGCTAGGGGAAGCTAGGGTGGGAAGGAATGTGTCTAGAGTAGAGAGGGTGTGGAGGAGGAGAGGGAGGCTTAGTCCATTAGGTCTAGGGTGGGGTTGTTTTCTTTTCAGCCTCCAGCTCTGCAGCTGCTGTAATCCCGCCGTACTGTTGCTTCCCTGGGAAGCACATAGGACCTGAAGCTCTTTGGCACACAGCCCTTCAAGATGTGACAGTTGAGTGGACTGGAGTAGGAGAAGAGGGGTGTGGCTGTCTTGAAGCACCTCCTCCTATCCTCAAAGTTGACCCAAGTACTGCCTTCCTAGACTCTGTTCTTTAGCTATGGAGGGGCCTTTTTGCTATAAGGGTCTGCAGTGAGAGTAAGACATCTCTGTACAGCCTACTTCAGAGGCCCTGTAGTTCATGGAGGAGAGTGGGAAACCGCTGGGTCAGTTTGGCACACTGGACCGAGAGCTAAGTTGTATCATTTTTACTGTTTTCCTCCCTTAAAAATCTAGTTGCTACACTGTCTCCAGCAGGTTTCTTCTTCACAGGGTGAAGAGAGAGAACCTTCCTTCTTGCTCTGAACTTCCACATAACACAGATTCAGGCAAGGCTGTGTCCAGCTAAAGAACTTGTACTGACACAAAAGCTTTTGAACTATGCCACTTGAGACAGGATGCTTGTCCTGCATGCACCGGCCCAGCTCCCTGTCCCCCTACTGTGCAGAGTTTTACAGTGTGGCATCTTAGTCCATTATGTTTGGGGTGATTTTTAGCTAGCCTGTCTCCTGCTGGGTTACGTTTATGGCTGGGACCACATATGGGTGAGGTGGTTATTTCAGCTGCCGTCCTAGGAGAGCCTGGCTGCCTCCCACACTGCAGTTCTTTGGAGTCATCCCTGTACCAGCTCCTTTTCCCTGAGCATGCTCACTGAGGATAAAATGAGTGTGTGCATGTATGTGCCTCTGACCCTCCTCAGTTCTTCAGCCATTTCTCACTTGGTTGTGGGGAACCTGCTTGGATTATGAGAAAATCTCCAGGGTCCAATAGACAGGCTTTCTTAAGAATGTCAGGAGTGCCCCACTCACGGCATATGGGCCTCATGTGTCTAAGGTAGCTATGAATGTGGCCCAACATAAAATGGAAAACTTATTTAAAACACAGATTTTGGAGATGGGGTAGGGGATGGATTTTTTTTTTTTTGCAGTATTTATTTTGTAACTCGGTTGTATGGTTCTTGGACATGAACTTTGTGGGTGATGTAAGTGTCGCAGTGTCAGAAGATAGGTAAGATGTGCTTGTGTGGGGGGGTCACAGATGCTGTCTAGACATTGTATCTCAAACATTGAAAGTCCAACATGCATCTCCAGTCCCGGGGCCTGTGAGTGGGTATAATCTAGATGTGCTTTGATGCGGGAAGCCCAGGAGGCTGCTCCTCAAAAGGGTTCATATGACTCACAGTTCTCCTGACACTCTGCGGCAGGAGGGCAGCCTCTCAAGACGGGCTGCCTGATCTCCAGCCCTGGCTTGTGGCACAAAGATGGCAGTTCAGGCTGAATACTCCTAAGCCCAAATGTATGTTTCAGAATTTGGGGTCCTTTTAGAGCTGGAAGAACCTTTGTAGATTTCACCTCTAAATAGTTTTTGAATAAGGGATGTTCAGCTTGGAATGCCTGCATTGTGGGGACTTGAGACAATACCAACAAAAATTGATGGTGCAGAATGAATGTGTTGTGGGTGGTTGTAAAATGGTGTTTCTGCCGCCAGGGTACCACGGCAGGACAGTGGAGCCTGCAGGAGGGGCAGGTGGATGGCAGAAACCCTGCGATTCAGGTTTATCCATTTTCTTTTGTGTTGCTGTTTTTGTCAGTTCTGATCCTGCAGAAAGTGGAGAATGGAGATCTGAGTAACAAGATTCTGAAGATAACTGACTTTGGGCTGGCTCGGGAATGGCACCGGACCACCAAGATGAGCGCGGCAGGGACATACGCTTGGATGGCACCCGAGGTCATCCGCGCTTCCATGTTTTCCAAAGGCAGTGACGTGTGGAGGTAAGATCCAGAGGTGCAGCCTCCAAGTTCCTAGGTCTGTGGGACCTCTCAGAGGGACCTCTACTGAATTCTGTGTTGCTAAGGGATGCTGTGGCAATTCCATCATCTCTGTAGGCACTTCCTGTGGTAGGTAACTCCTCAGGAAAGGTCAGCAGAGTCCAGGGGCACCATGTACTTCCGTCTCTGACCTGAAGGGTGGGAAATCACCCTACACCAAGCAGTAACTTTGGCTCTGTCACGTTACTGGGCTTCAGCGACTGCTACTGTGAGACTCCGGGTGGACTTAACCTGGTGTCCTCCCTGTTTGTTCCTGAGTCACTTGATAACTTGGAAATGGTCCTTTCTAGCTATCTAGTTATTCTTTTATACAGGGCTCTGTGTGTTGGACATTTATCTAGAAATGGGAATAGATTGGTCCCCAGCAGGCCCTAAGAGTTGTGCAGTTACAATCCACAGTTAACAATCTCTACTACCAAGTGTCAGTCCAAAAGGTCACAAGGACATAGAATTTTAAAAAATCATGTTGCCATTGAGGAAGGATAAGTTACCATAAGATAGACGTTGTCCTATCTGAAGGACAGTAGTGACACCTTCACCTATACCAGAAAAGACTGTGGGTGATCAGTGCAGCTCAATCTAGGATCAGTGCTTCCTGGCATGTGGTAGTGAGCATGTGTGCATGCATGTGTGCTTCTGTGTATGTGTGTTACCTTTAAAGTAACTGCCTTGAGATATTCAGAGATCATAAAGCACACCCTTTACGGTATGTAGGTCAGAACGTTTTAGCATTTATAAAGCTGACTTCAGGACCGGGATGCAATTCAGTAGGTAGACAAGTGTGCACCGTACTAGTGTGCTCAGGACCCTGGATTTGATCTCCAGCACCAGAGAACTGGAAGTGGTGGTGTGGGTATGTAATCCTAGTACTCCAGACACAGAGGCGGGTGAATCATAGGCGAGGCCAGCCTAGGATAGGCAAGACACTGTCTCATAAAAACAAAGACCCAACAAAACCTAAACAAGCTTAACTACTTGAGTGACTGAGTGTCACTCGCCACTGTTACCTGCTTCCTAAGTCGCTATACCATGTTCCACCCACCAGATGAGTTAAAGCCACAGAGATTTGCTCTTTCACAGCTCTGGAGGTCAAAAGTGTGAAATAAGTACAGCAGTGCCCCATCCTAAAGATCCCAGAGGAGACTCCTGTCTGTGTACGGATTCTAAGTTCTAGAACGTCAACAGATATTGTCAGGGCCACCGTCCCACCCACTGCCATTGCTGTTTCCCAAAGATTGTTCTAAACCTCAGAGAGACCCCATGCCTTCTGCCTGTCATACTTCTTCCCCGTCTCACCTGTTGCTGTCTCTGGATCACCATTTCCCATCAGTGGGAAATCTGCACTCACTTCTTACATTTAACGTGTTCACAAGTCCAGCCATGTTGTAGTTTCATTAGACATACATTCCTTTTATGGCTTTTTAGTATTCCATGATATAGGCAGTCCATGTTTATTTATTTGTTCATTCATTACGTGATAGAGAGTGAGTTTTCTCTTTGGGGATGTTACGATTAAGACTGCCGTGGACGTGGACACACATTCTGTTGTGCCTGCATGCTTTCTGCTGACTTGGGCATGTGCCTTCATACTGTTAAGTATATGTGTGAACTTTTTGAGGGCCTAGCAAACTGTTTCATGCACAGATGCTCCGTTTAAATGCCATTGGTCCATTCCACTAACTCGTCTATCTCAAGCATCTACTCTTGGTGCTGTTGTTGTTTCGGTTGCAGCCATCCTACTCTGTGAAGCAGGATTTTACTGTTTGTTTGTTTGTTTTTCGAGTCAGGGTTTTCCTGTGTAGCCCTGGCTGTCCTGGAACTCACTTTGTAGACCAGATTGCCCCTCTGCCTCCCATGTACTGGGATTAAAGGCATGTGCCACCACTGCCTGGCTCTTCACTGGATTTTTTAAAAATTTTATTGATTTTTATTGAGCTCTACATTTTTCTCTGCTCCCCTACCTGCCTCTCCTCTCCACTTCAACCCTCACCCATGGTCGCCATGCTCCCAATTTACTCAGGATATCTTGTCTTTTTCTACTTCCCATGTAGATTAGATCCATATATGTCTCTCTTAGAGTCTTCATTATTGTCTAGGTTCTCTGGGATTGTGATTTGTAGGCTTGTTTTCTTTGCTTTATGTTTAAAAACCATTTATGAGTGAGTACATGTGATAATTGTCTTTCTGGGCTGGGTTACCTCACTCAAAATAATGTTTTCTAGCTCCATCCATTTGCCTGCAAAATTCAAGATGTCATTTTTTTCTGCTGTGTAGTACTCCATTGTGTAAATGTACCACATTTTTCTTATCCATTCTTCGATCGAGGCATTTAGATTGTTTTCAGGTTTTGACTATGACAAACAGTGTTGCTAGGAACATAGTTGAGCACATGTCTTTGTGCCACGATTGAGCATCCTTTGGATATATACCCAAAAGTGGTATTACTGGGTCTTGAGGAAGGTTGTTTCCTAATTTTCTGAGAAATCACCACACTGATATCCAAAGGGACTGTACCAGCTTGCATTCCCACCAGCAATGCAGGAGTGTTCCCTTTACCCCACATCCTCTCCAGCATAAGTTGTCATCAGTGTTTTTGATCTTGGCCGTTCTTACAGGTGTAAGATGGAATCTGAGTTGTTTTGATTTGCATTTCTCTGATAACTAAGGATGTTGAACATTTCCTTAAGTGCCTTTCAGCCATTTTAGATTCCTCTGTTGAGAGTTCTCTGTTTAGGTCTGTACTCCATTTTTATGTTATTATTATTGGACTATTTGTTCTTTTGATGACCAATTTCTTGAGTTCTTTGTTTATTTTGGAGATCAGACCTCTGTCTGATGTGGGGTTGGTGAAGCTCTTTTTCCATTCTGTAGGCTGTCATTTTGTCTTGTTGATCGTGTCCTTTGCTTTACAGAAGCTTTTCAGTTTCAGGAGGTCCCATTTGTTAATTGTTTCTCTCAGTCTTCACTGTATTTTTAATGTGCATTTCCTGAGTGACTTTCGAAGTTGAGTCTCACTTGTGTTCATTGGTCATTGTGTATCTTCTCTGGAGATGTGTCTGCTCAACTCTTTTGCCAATTAAAAACCAGCTTGTCTTCTGGATTTTTTCTTTTTTAGTTTTAAAATATTTTATTATTGCATGTATTTTAACACATGATTTAAGTTATTTTCCACTCTGTGTTTTTTGGATAATTGTTGGTAGTGTACTCTGAAACCCATGTGTTTCTTAGTTTTCTTTTACTGCCTGACTTTGTTGTTGTCCTAAGAAGCATTGCCTCATCCAAGGCTGTGAAGATTCTTAGCTCTGTTTTCTTCTGAGAATTTTATAATCTTGGTTCTTACCCTGGTGCTTCTGATCCATGTTGACTTGATTTTCATGTGGTGTGAGGCCAAACTTTACATCTTCTTACCTGCTCACTGTGCCAGGACCTTGCGTTGAAGAGACTTCCCTTCCCATTGAAATACTCTGTCATCTCTACCGGAAACACCCATGAGAACTGTGAGGGCTTGTTCCTGGGTCCACAGTTCTGTTAGTGTGTCTGTGTCTGCATGTTAATATGCAGCGTGGTAGTAAGTTTTGAAGTTTCGGATATGAAAGCCCTCCAATTTTGCCTTTTCAGAATTGTTTTTGGTCATTCTGCAATTTGAATCCACTGTAATTCTTTATAAATCTTAGCGTCATTTTGTTAATTTTGTAAAATAAGCAATTGTGATTTTTTTTTTCTTGTTTGAAAGACTGGCCTCGTATAGCTTCCGCTGGCTTCAGATTAGATATCTAGGCAGAATGCTCTTGAATGCCTGCTCTTTCAGCTTTTGTATCCCCAAGGACTGGGATTTTAGGGGCCATCACCTCGGTTGACACCTAGGATTTCCAGAGGGGTTGTGTTTAGTCTGTGAGTTATTTGGGGGACTATAGACATAGTGTTTTTCAATCCATAAATGTGAGATTTCTGATGTGTTTAATTTCTTTCAGAGTTATTTTGTACTCTTTGTCCATTCTCATCTGGCCCTATGTTAGCTACAGAGTGAACTACCTACTTGGGAGTGGTTTTCCTCCTTTTAAAATATTTGACCTGGTAGTCAACTGCTATAGACCTCTTAAAAACAGCAGTCCCATTGCTGCTTAACACTTAGAGTGTCTCACCACACACTGGTAAGATTGATACTAATTAGTCCTCGTTGATGTATAATTAACCTAATATTACAAGGAGACCCATTGATATGGAAGCTTACATAAGCAAAGTATATTTCTGCTTCAAGGAGTAGTTCAGGCAGCCTAGGCTGGCAGGACAGCTATGCCCTGTGAGACCCAGGTTCTCCAGGTTCCCTTCCTGTCCTTGTCCCAATGGTTTGGCCTGAGCTGTGGTTCCTTCTGTATTATAGTCTATAGGAAAGGAGGCCAAGCTTATCCATGGCCAGAGACTTGCCTTTGGTGTGGAGATAGTCTGCGTGTTGTACACAGCCCCTGTGTCCCATTGCCTGCGCTCTCTTGTACACAGCCCCTCCATCTTTATCTCTTATCTGGCTGACTGTGAAGAGACCAAACGCACCTTTGGCTACTGTGTGTCCAGCTAAAGTTCACTCAGGAACTGGGACCCCTCAGTCCCAGCCACTGGGCGTTCTCTCTTCAGAGAATAGCATGCTTATTCTCCTGTCTCACTTCTCTCGGGGTTTGTTCTTTACTCTGCTGCTTCTGCTGCTGTGATATGGACAGCCTCTCACCAGGTTCTGTGCCTGTTCTTAGTGGAAAGGGGGTGTGAACACCTAACTGAGGGTCTTCTAGTGGCAGTCAGTAAAGGACAGGGCTACCGCAGGGGCTTGTCTTCCATGGGGGAGTGGGCCAGACTCTTTCAGCTTTTACCCAAACCCCCTGTTACAGGATTTGAGCCGTGTTCCTAACATCACTGCGGTTGAAAGCCACTTGCAGGAGCTGTTGTGAGAGGCA